TTCCCTACATGAGCATTATTGGAGATAGAAAAACAAGTTTAAGATTTAACTCTACCATTTACTATTTGTATGAACTTGCTAGATTCTTTCTGTACTCTCCACTCTGTTATCTATGAAACAGGGATAATATCAGACTCAAAAACTGAGGAAAGGAAGGAGTGAGCCACATGGATATATAGGGATGAGCATTCCATGCACATGAAACCCTGAGTACAAAGGCCCCAAAGCAGGGGAATTCTTACCATGTTGAAAGAACAGCAAAAAGGTCAGCGTGGGGGAACCAGCAGTTAGCGTAATGGCTATGTCGCTGGACTCCCACGTAGTCGACTGCGGTTCACGTCCTGGACCCGGTGGCTTAAAACTCACGCCGGGTGCTTGTGTGTGCATGCGTGCCCAAAATCCCGAGAGGAGAATGGAGGAGAAGGGATTGCGGCATGACCATCCCCCCCTGGGGGGTGATTTCTCGCTTTCTGTCTCTGTCTCTCTCTGTCTGTCTGGCGAGCGCACGCTCCCTATAGCGAAAAAACCTCTCCAAAAAAAAAAAAAGAAAAGGTCAGCGAGGCTGGTGGTGACCAGTAAGGCCAGGCAGGTAAGCACATGTTGGAGAGGACAAAGTCAGAGAGGTAACAAGGAAATTGACAAGGTAAGGCTTCCTAGACTAATAAAAGACCAAAAAGACTTTTACCGTGAGTGTGATGGAGAACCATCAGAGGGTTTGAACAGAGGAATGACAGGACCTGATTTTTGCTTAAACAGAACACTCTGGCTACTGCGTTGAAAATGAAATTACTTGGGGAAATTCAGGGGCTAAAGAGGGATTAAAGGCAAAAGCAGTGAGATCAAGATAAAGGCCATTATAATGCTACAGGCCAAAAAAAGTTGGTGACTTGGTCTAAATTGTTAGGCATGGAGACAGGGAAATGTGGTTGTGAAAAAGAAATGAAAAGAAACTGAAACCTATGAATTCCAACACAAATATCAAGAATTATTCCTATACTATATTTGAAGAAAACAGAATAACTCTAAGAGGTGGCATCATCAGTATAAAAGTCTTTAGTATGTCCTAAAGAAACCATTTTTAACTGGAGACCAACTGGATAACTTGGGAGAATAAAACAGAGAAGGGAAATCCAATCCAACGTACATTACTGAGCTATAATTATCTCTGAGTATTTTAGTCTTCGTACTTTTCTTTATAAATTACCTTTTTTACTATAAGCATATGTTACTGTTATAACTAGAATGCATTGTTTGTTTGTTTGTTTCACGTATACATAACCCCTCTGGGGACCATCTAAGGGCCATGTCAGTTGTAATGAACATAGATTGTCTGAACAAGAGACAGGAGAGGGGTTAACACCTAAGGTTAACATCCCTAGTTCGTAAGTCAGAGTAGCTGTGTTCCTGCTCACATCCCAGTAACGTGGCAGAAAGGCCTTTAAGCATAAAGTGAAAGATGAAGTGTGCTAGCTGTCATTATGTGACTGGCACCTACAGCCACAACTGGCATGAAGACGTGGGCCCAGAATATGCAAAATCATTGCAAGGGCACCTCTGCATCACAGCAGAGGCACCCTGGGGCTTGCAAATTTGAGTGTAGTTTGCTAGAGCCCAGCATCAGAAAAACAAAATGATGCTTCCTTAATAAATGTAGCTATGATTTAGTGAACAGTGCCCTGACTTGGTGAAAGACTTAGTTTCTAGCATAGTTTGTGCTTTTATCAGTTTGCGGCATCGCCATGGGTCAGATTTCTTATGTGAAAATAGAAAGCAATACTTTACCAGGTGGAATAAAAAAAGAATTAGATGATAAAGACATTTACATATAATCTAACTTATATATCTATCATGCTTTTGTATAGAATTTTTTGAAATGTGGGTCGTCCCTATGGGAAAGGCTCCTGTTGCTCCCCATGACAGTGCTGAGCAGAGCTCCAGCAGGGTAAGGATGGGCAAGACTTGGAGAGGCCTCTTGGATCTGGCACAGCCAGCACAGTCAGCTTCCTATTTCCTGAAGAGCAGCAGAGTCGGAATCTGGGGCACCAGCTCTGCCCACTTTGTTCTTTCCTCCTTCCCAGCATGACTGTTTTCTGTTATCACTCAGCGAATATGCCCATTGGAGAATGCCACTGTGGCCACTACGATGCTCCTTTACAGCAACATGCAGTGTGGATTCTGCCAAAGACCTAGTTAGCTGCACTTCACCTGTCAGAGAAAGCCAGTGGCAACACCCAGCCCACTCTATCACCTTGCTTTGTTACATGAAATCCATAATTCACACCAACTGAGAATGTTAAATTAATAGTCCCTTGAAGGTCTCATGTCTTCCTTTTAATTATCTCATTACACTTTTTTAAAAGTTTATTTATTTGTTTCTTCCATGAGAGAAGAATGAGAGAGAGAGAGAAAGACAGCGAGAGAGAGAGAGAGAGAGAGAAGCATCCACAATAAGGTCTTTAGGCCACAATCCATGTCCAGTAGAGTCTGCCAGGGTCACAAGCATACACGTGTGTGCCCGGCACAGACAGGGAGACCTTGGTATGTGAACCTGGGACCTTTCCAAACGGCCACAGCATTGCAGAGCATTGCCTTCCCCCTTGCACCACCATGGTTGACCCTCATCACATTTTAAAAGGGGCATATGATTATAATTTTTTATCATAAATTTGTCTTCTAAGTAATAAGGTTTTTTTAATTTGGTTTTGAGGGTTTTGAAGCTATAGCTTATATACTTATATTTGAAAAAACGTATTCAAGTGATAAAAGTAATACATGTTTATGGCCTGTAAATGGAAAATGCTTGCTTTGTCAGCACATGCACTAATACTGGAATGATACAGAGAAGATTAGTACAGCCCCTGTGCAAGGAGATACACGACAAAACGGGAACTAGAGAGAAGTACAAAGATCAAAATACTCACAATGACTTTCTTCCAACATAGTCATCTTTTGCAGATTTGGGATTTTTTTTTTTCAGTAGTTTTGTATCCTTTATTTTGTATACAGTTTTGTATCCTTTCTATATAAGCTTATAGTGAGATTATGCATATGGAAGAGTTAAAATCAGAAGTGTGCGATAGACACAGTGAAGGAAACTACCAGAGTCTGCTGAAGTCAGCACCCCTGGTGATAGACAGATGGGTCCTGTGAGATATGACCACAGAATACAAAGGGGGTGGCAGGCTCTGGCCAGGTGAAAAAAAATGGCCACAGTGACTCATTAAGCATTGTAAGAGAACAACAGAAGCACTATGCTTCCAGAACACTGTGGATCTATGAACTCTGAGTGAACGCATGCTCAGGGAATGTGGTCTTCCTGCTTGCAAGCAACAGGAGGCCATTAAATGGGTATGTGATCTGATAAATGTATTTTTCCAGATTCCAGGATGTTCTGTCCAGCCTCTGGTGTCATTTGGTCTTATCTCCCCCACCCCAGTTGAAAGTGAAACCAACCTGTTCTGGAAATCCCCCTATTTTTCTGATTTTCTAAAAAACAATTTTCCTTCTTCCTTTGCCCTAATAAATACAAAGGACAAGAGAGGCTTAGTGTGCACAAACCTGGTATGGACTCTCCCTCTCCCTCTTGACTCAGATCTCTGTGTCTCAAGTAGTTATTCCATGCACACTTCGGGTGACTCTCTGCAGGTCAGAAGAGTCACAAAGTATCAGAAGCTTATAGCAGAGGCAGGGAGGATGACAATTCTTTTCCAGTTGTCCACCACACACCATTCTCTCCTAGCTAACCTCATTACAAGATCGTACATGCAAATTTTGGGTAGTTTAATGCTGTTTCTAAATGAATTTACTGTCCAAATGTTTCTTGTTAGCTGTGCAGATAAGCCTTTATTGTTTAGTACTATACAAACTTCCAGAAGTCATGTTTATGCTTTTGGCTTCATAGTCTCTCACGTGAGACTCCAAAGAGAATAAGAAGCCAGAAAATGTGGGAGGGAAGAGTGATAAATATTAAGGATCATCTATGCAGTGAACAATCCCTTATTTTCATTGACTTCAAGGTTATATTTACTTTCCTATATCAAGATCCCAGTCTTGTTTTCCCATTTCAGACCTCGTTTCGTCTGCTTGTTGGTCTCTGCTATCTGAAAGTTGACAACTTCTTTGTGTTCGGGAGGCTGCTCCCGGCGACTCAGCAGCCGTCACCATGCCACAAAACAAATATATTGAATTACATCCATCGTAAATACTATGGATACTGTTTGGATTACCATGAGAAAAAGAGAAAGAAGGAAAGTCCGGGAGGCTCATGAATGTTCAAAGAAGGCAAAAAAGACAATTGGTCTAAAGGCTAAGCTCTATCATAAACAGTGCCATGCTGAGAAAATACAAATGAAAAAGACTATTAAGATGCATGAGAAGAGGAACACCAAACAGAAGAAGGATGAAGACTCCAGGAGGAGCAGTACCTGCCTATCTGTTTTATCAGAGAAGGACAGTTCCAAGCTGAAGCACTTTCCAATACGATTAAACAAAAATGAAGAGAGAAAGTGGGGAAATGGGAAGTCCCTCTACCCAAAGTTCAAGCCCAGGGAGAAACAGATGTATTAAAAGTTATTCAAACAGAAAAGAGAAAGAAGGCATGGAAGAGGAAGTTTACAAAAGTCTGCTTTGTTGGAGATGGCTTTACTAGAAAACCACCTAAATATGAAAGATTCATTAGGCCAATGGGCTTATGTTTCAAGAAGGCCCACATAACACATCCTGAATTGAAAGCCACCTTTTGCCTGCCAGTTCTCGGTCTAAAGAAGAATCCCTCATCCCCAGTATATACAACTTTGGGTGTTATCACCAGAGGTACTGTCATTGAGGTGAAGATGAGTGAGTTGGGCCTTGTGACACAAGGAGGCAAGGTTTTTGGGGGGAAATATGCCCAAGTTACCAACAATCCTGAAAATGATGGATGCATAAATGCTGTCTTACTGGTTTGATAGCAGTTGCATGCAAATAACTCCTTGTAATTTTTGAAGATGATACACCAATCTGGGAAACCATCATAACTGATGTTTCTGAATATAGCTAGTCTTACATGTCTGCAATCATCAAAAGATTATTTATTAAATTGTACAAAAACACTGAAGTGACCTGGTTTTACAAAAAAAAGAAAAAAAAAGAAAAAAAAACGGTCTTTACATTGAGATTTCAAGGAAGACTGCACTTATAAATTAGTAAAATGTATGAGTCATTCCAAAATTGTGTTTAATCCAAGATTCTGCTACCAGCGTAGCATCTGTCCTAAAACGACAGGGTTTTTATCACATTATCACATTAGTGTTCAATTACTTGAAATGCTGGACTCTTCTTAGAGGTCAGTGATGATTTGAGAATGTGTATTTATGTGAATGCATGCTTCAGTTGTAAGACAAAGCTTCCCAAAGGACCACAGCAAGCATAGTTCTTAAAAATGAACTTTGGATAATAACCTTGACCCCTGCATTCCAAAGACATTAGCAAGATGTGAACCACACTGTTATGTGGTTGTGGCTTTGGGAACAGAATGAATCTGTTGGGAAACAAGGCTCAAGAGCAAAAAATCAAGAACTACGTAGTAACTGAGTGAAGACCATACAAAAATGGGCTCCATTACAACAGTAGAAAGTATCTTTTGGTGTCAATTAACTTCCCAGATCACAGAGATTATTCAACTGAATTATTTATTCAAAAGATAAAGCCCTAAAAGAAAGGAAAACGATCTTTAAATGATGCCACATTGCATAGATTTTAGGCAAAGAACCGGCTTGCCAAACAATTTCATTTATTAATGGCCTAAAATGAAACAGAGGATCAGATCAAGTGGAAAAGTGAAAGCCAGCACATTCATGTGCACTGTGGCATTCAGGCATGTCTCTGCCAAGTGAGGAAGAGAAACACATGTTTTCACAGGTAGAATAATTTTCCAGCTTTTAGTCCCAAACTGCCATAATGCTGACACCAAGAAAATTAGTAGGCTATCTACTGAAGATTGGAGTCTGATAAATGCAAGTACAAATGGTGTGCTCCTTCTGAACCCTGAGCAAAGGGAGCGCTTCCGCTCCCCGGGAATGAGGAGGGAGCATCAAGATTGGCAGTTGGTGCTTTTGTGCAATCAATATTGTTTATGGATTCCTCTGGCATGACTGCATGCATCTGAAGGGGGAGAAAAGACACTACAAACACACACACTTGAGAATTTCAGGAAATTACCCAAATGCTCAAATCCTTCCCCGGGGGCGATGGTTTTCAATAGGAGTTTACATGATAAATCCAAGCAGTGAATACATTTAAAAAATAATAATCTGGCAGCCACATGGAACAATAGCACACCCAATATCGGCAGCTTATTTGAAAAGAGTACTTAGTCAGAATGTGTGTGAAATTAGACTATCAGAAAAGAAGCAAGACAAAGGAGGCCTAGAATGGCTGAAACAGGCGAGGCAGCTTATCCACTAGTCCCTGACAATGCTGCACTTGCCGTAGAAACAACTCAGAGTGGGGCTGACAAAGAAGCAGACAAAGCCAGCATGCAAGTGGATGATAAGCAGAGATCTGTGGCCATCAAGGGGGAAAGAAAAGGAAGCAGCTGCAGAGACAGAAGCCGGAAATGATAAAGTCAGGTTGTAAATAAATGCACCAATAGTGACTACCCTGTGTAAGCTGACTGACTGGGTGTCACTGCCATTAGCTTACTCTCCATCTCAGTGGCTTTTTGAACTGCTGATAAACAAGTTAACTGTCATGGCCAAGGTTATGTTATATTTTAATAAGGGCAGAAAAGACACTGCAGATTCCAAGTTTGGTTTTGAAAATCATCATGTCTGAAACTAGAGTAAACAGCTAAGGCTAAATTTTCAGAAACAGAAAACTACGGCCAGCTTTTGTGAGAAAGCCCGTTCACACCCACACTCTGGCTGGCACAGGAGATGTGGGCATAACTTGCAGGGAGGTTGCTTCCGAGGAGCAAGCCCGCTGACAGCCATCAGAATTCTGCCAGCATAATCTTGCAGTTACAGCCCCATCTTCTGTGAGTGCAAGATCACCACTTTTTCAGAACTATTTTAACACCTGAGTCATTTCTTTACCACAAGGGACAAGTGTTCCCTCAAGACAAGTGACATTCAAGGTAGAAAGAAGCCAAAAAAAAAACTGTTAAAAAAAAAGAAATATAAATATATATGTGGGCGTGTGTGTGGCTGTCATGGCCAAGGTTATGTTATATTTTAATAAGGGCAGAAAAGACACTGCAGATTCCAAGTTTGGTTTTGAAAATCATCATGTCTGAAACTAGAGTAAACAGCTAAGGCTAAATTTTCAGAAACAGAAAACTACGGCCAGCTTTTGTGAGAAAGCCCGTTCACACCCACACTCTGGCTGGCACAGGAGATGTGGGCATAACTTGCAGGGAGGTTGCTTCCGAGGAGCAAGCCCGCTGACAGCCATCAGAATTCTGCCAGCATAATCTTGCAGTTACAGCCCCATCTTCTGTGAGTGCAAGATCACCACTTTTTCAGAACTATTTTAACACCTGAGTCATTTCTTTACCACAAGGGACAAGTGTTCCCTCAAGACAAGTGACATTCAAGGTAGAAAGAAGCCAAAAAAAAAACTGTTAAAAAAAAAGATATATATATATATATGTGTGTGTGTGTGTGTGTGTGTATATATACATATATATATATTAAGAATGTGCAAGGATCCTATGTCCAAAATATCCTCTCTCTCTATGGAAACTCTCTATTTCCATGCCTGCCATTTTCTAAGGTTTGCTTGGATGACCCATTTAAGGAAATCTGCCAGCTAATCAATTTTGTTTTGTTTTGTTTTGTTTTCTCTACTGTGGAAGGGTGAAATGAAAGTATAAACCATCACTAGAGAATCAAACCTTATGAAGCAAAGTCAGTACTTGTACAA